CCGATGGCTGTGTGGCGGCTAGAGTTTTGTGCACCCCGGGGCCCCCGGGCCCACCCACCCCGCCAGAGCTGTCTTGGGGCAGCCCCTGCCTGGGGACCCGCTTTCTCACCTTGTGCCTGGCCTCGTGTGCTGTCAGATGGTGGGGTGGCCACCACCTCGTCCCTGGGGTGGAGATGGGCTCGGTGCCGGACCCTTGCGGACCTGGGTTCAAGTCCTGCCTCGCCCTTGGCCATGCGACTTCCTTTCTGGGCCCTGTTTCCTTGTCTGTAAAAGGGGGTTTATGACAGAGAACAGAGGGGCAGAGGGAACCCAAAGCTCTCAGCCTGGCGTCTAGATGTGATAGTGCTCAGTGGATGCCCTCAGATGGTGCCCTCGACTCTGGACGTTTGGGGCAGTGGCTTCTCCCCGTGAACACCTCAACTCTAACACACGCCCCAAAGCAAGGCTGGAGGGGAGCCAGGCACGTGGGGGTGGGTGGGACCTCTGGGACCTCCTCCCCTGCGATGACACTGGGCTCAGCAGCTGGCATCCTGCACGTCGTGGGTGGGACGAGCCACGCCCTGCTCAGGCCTCAGAAGCCCCCTGCCCGGCGGGGACAGGCCCTCTGCTCGGGGCCCTCAGAAGCTCTGTGCCGTCAGGCGGGCCCGCTCCAGTCAGTGTCCCGTGCTGGGACTGTTGTGGTTTCAGAGACCAGGAGATAAAAGATGACAGACACGCGGCCACAGAGGGAGGCAGCCTGTGCAGTGGGTGCTTGGCCTGCGAGCTGGGCCCAGGGTGCCCGCACCCAGCCGGGGTTCCCGCCTGCCTGCCGCAGGCTGAGGAAGTCTCCGTGCGGCTGGAAACACGCAGTGTTCCTGTTTTGTGGGGTTCGTTTGTTGGTCTTTGTAGTTTATATGAGGATTAAGACAATCATTTTTAGGACACTTACTCCTTGTCCTCCTGAGCCAGTGTAAACTTGAGGCCACAAAGGCTTCTGTTGGTGTTTCTGCTTTTGGTTTCAAAGGCAGTGAGCACATGTGCTGTCTGGTGAGTGGCCCAGGAGGCAGGGGGGACAGTCACCAGCTGCCTTTCCCTTCCGTCCTCGGGCTCGTTAGCCTCTGAGCCTTTCCAGGAATGGGGCCCCACCCCCAAGACCCCCTGAGGCCTGTGGGAGGAGGTGGTACAGGCAGCATGCTGAGGGCAGAGACCACCAGGACCCCTGTGTGAGGGGACACTGCAGCCCTGGCTAAGCCTCCGGCAGGGCCACATGGCTCCTGAGAGGCTGGGCCTGGACGTACCTCTCGCCAGAATCCTGGGGCCCACCTGTCAGTTTTTCTGCCTTGTCTTCCCTTTGGGGAGTTGATGGAAGGTTCTGGTCCCTCGTGCTCATGACTGCCACATCCTGTGACCCTCCTCCCTTGTCCCTAACTCTCGATTGACCCCTCCGCCCCAGAGACCAGGGCACCTGTGCTCCCCTTCCCCGCCCCCGCTCATCTGCTGTTGGGACAGGAGAGAAACCGTCCGAAGTCGTTTTGGTGGCCGACAAGACACCTTTCAGGTGCAGGCCGTTTTCATCCGCAAGGACCGACACCACGCACCCGCCCGCATGCCGCCCGCCTCTCTCCGCCTGAAGTGTCTGTCCGTCTTGCTTGTTTTCGCTCAGCACCCAGAGGAAGCAGCCAGAAGCAGGGCGTCGGGGCGTGACCGGGCCGGAACTGGGGCGAGCGGACTTGCCGCCTGGCTGCTCCCCCGGTCTCTGATCCTGGCGGTAGGTGCGGCCAGACGCCCCCATCTCTCCTGGAGCCTGTGGTGGCCGTGCAGTCGTGTGGCCGGCCGCCTGGGGTTTCATGACCACTTCCTTCTCGCCCCGGGACTGAGGCTTGAGTGGTCAGCCCGGCTCTGCTCCCGGTTCTCCACGCAGCCCCGGGGGGTGGAGGGGAGCCTCTGAGCAGAGTCGTCAGGAGAAGGGCCCCTGTCCTCTGGACGCCAGGTGGACGATGAAGGGACGCGGTGCAGAGAGCATGGACGGGGCTCAGGCTGCCGGCCTCAGGCCCGCCCTTCATCGCGCCCCCTGGACAGTGGGGCTCCTGCCCTCAGTGTCTCCAAGGGTGGACGGCTTGGGGGGGCGGGGGCCTGGATCCCCCTTGCGGGAGTGAATGACAAAGCTGCCTGCCATCTGGCTGTCAGGAGGGGACGGGGACGAGCAGGATCTGTGTGTGTGTAATTGCCCTGCCGCCGCCTCTGCGAGTCCCTGTGCTCCAGTTGACAGGTCCCTCTCTGCCCCTGCTTCAGGAGGGGCGTCTCCCAGGCCGCCCAGAGCTCAGGTTGCACCTGGGAGCTGGCAGGCGGAGGGCAGCCTCTGCATCACCGCAGGCTGGAGCGGGAGCCCTGCAGATGTCCCACACACAGGGGCCGGGCGCTTCCTGTCCGTGGCGGGAGCTGAGGGCTGGGCCGTGGAGGACGGACGCCTCTCCTGGGAGTCGGCAGATGGAGGCCACAGACCTCACCTTGCGCGGCGTGTGCGCGGTCCAGCTTCTCCCGCAGGATGGTTCTCGTTTCGGGGACGCGGTGGGTGTGCGAGCGAATCCGAGGACTCGGGGTTCAGGAGGCCGGGCCCGGTCTGCCGTCAATGCCGGAGGCTGTCCTCTCTGTGCCTGTCTGCGTCCCTGCTAGCTCTGGGTGATGCCGTCCACCTGCTCTGGGTGGTTTTGGGGCGTGTGTCCACACCCCGTGACGTGGCCAAAGGCTCCAGGGTTTTGCCTGCAGAGCGCTGTCTGCCTTGTCTGCTCAGGAAGCCCTGGCCGCCTCCCGCCATGCGTCAGGAAGCAGGTCGTGCAGGTGGCCGCTGAGCAGCAAGCTCTGTTGCTGCTGGGGACGTGTGGCCGTGGCTCAGCCACACCCCAGACCAGCTCTGTGGCCCATCCTGCCCCTCCCCCTGCCTGGGTCTGCTGACGGGGGTTGTTTCCTGCGGGGCGGGAGGTGAGCAGACGGCAGGAGGCCACAGTGTCAGGGCCATGTCCCCCTGCCCAGTGGAGCGGCTCCAGCCCTCAGCCTTTCTTCTGTTTTGCCATTTGGTGGCCTGGGGACGTGCAAGCCGGCACTTGGGCCGCCTGTCAGTGGTGGCAGGCAGCAGATCCGTCCAGGACAGTTTCTCGTTCGAGAGTGTTTTCCTCTGCCTTCGACATTCCTCGGGCACGGTGGAGCCACCTGCCTCGCTGTGCCCACTCTGGGCTGCTCCCGGCCGCCTGGCGAGGCCAGGATTAGTCACAGGACTGGAGGCACTCAGCCGTGGGGTAAGAGTCATCACCTCCCACTTGACCGCTTTGGAGGCTGAGGCCCCGAGAGCATAGGGGAGCAGAGGGGCTCGCCTGAGTCACCGGTGGGAGATGGAGGCAGGATCTGAACTCGTGGCCCCCGCGCCCCGGTGGCCTCAGCATCCTGTCCTGCAGGGCGCCAGCGGGCTGCTGAGGTGCGGACTTCCATCCCGGTGACCTCTGCCGTCGGCGGTCCGTGTGCTGGCAGTCAGTCTCTTTCTTAACCCATGCGTGTAATAAAAGTTGTTTTTTTTTCCTCAAAAAAAGGAAGATGGCATTTGCACACACCAGTCCCTTCTCATGCAGATAAACCTGGGAGAAATTGGCCTGTCATCTCTTTGGGTGTATTTGTGGTAATTTAGCTGCTTAAATGAGACATCTGTTGGCCGGCCAGGCTCAGGGAGAGCGGAGCTGTGGATTGGACGAGAGCATTTCTTGCTGGAGCAGACTCGCCAGGCAGACCCGCCCCACATGGAGGAGCCCTCGGTGCCGGGGGGCCGTGTTGCAGGCCACGAGGTTTGGGGGGCCAGAGTGTTTGTATCTGGCCCCCTTGGGGCCCCGAGGACAGCAAGGACTTTCCTAGTCGTGGCCGGACCAGAATGAGGAGTGCAGGAGCCTGGCCCCTCCTCCCGGCTGATGCTGGGGCTCGGCCGTGGCCAGGGCTCCGGGGAGAAGCTGCCCCCTGTCTGTTCTCTGCAGCCCGCACGAGCCAGAGGGGTGTGGAGACCCAGGCCGCCAAGTGTCCGCCTCCAGGGGACAAAGGGTGGGTGCTTTGCCCTGGTCAGGAGCCAGGAGGGGCCCGGGCTCAGACTCCCCCACCACTGACGTGGCCGTGTGTGTCCCCGGGCCCCGCCCCGCAACCGCCCGAACCTCAGCGGGCCCATCCGTGCAGTGGGCTGCTGTGTGGCAGGGTGTGGCCCGTGGTCCCCGGAGCCCAGCAGGCCCTGGGACGTAGCACCTGGCTTCCTGCCCCCCACTTGGAAACTTCCTCTCCGTGTGACATGCACTTTCGGGACCCAGCCGGCGCCGGTTTGTATCTGAGTCACTGCGTGGTGCGAAGGGTCAGTGCCAGGGCACAGGTGGGCTCCTGGTGGAGGACACCTGGCCCCAGGCCTTCCTTCCCGTGCCCATGAAATGGATGGTGGTCACTTCAGTCGTCGGATTCCTCGGGGGAGCTGCCCCGTCCTTGACACCTTCCTTCCCTGCCACCTGTCCGAGCCCCCTCTTCCTTTAAGGGCGGCCGGGCCTCCCCGTTCTCGGGGGACACTTATTGAGTACTATCAGTTACTGCCTATCAGTGATTGACCCGTGGGACGAGGGAAATATAGGCGACTCCTTCGAGGGATTCAGAGTCTGGGGGTGAACGGAGGGGGCCCGGGACTGGGGGGGGCAGCTGTCACTTTGAGGGGACAAAACTCAGAACCACAGCCTTCGAGGCTGCAGGAGAGCAGGGTGATGGGCGGTGGTGGGCGTCTCCATCCTGGGGTGCCCAGGAGCCCGGGAATGGGACGAGGATAACACGCTGTGCCTGGACGTGGCTCAGGAAGTTCTGCTGAGGCCGCATGCTGGACTGGACGGGAGGGCAGGCCTGGAGTCCGGGAGGCTGGGGAGGATGTGGTCACCGGCAGGAAAGCTGATCGGGCCTGCACTGGGCGGGGGAGAGTGGGGGAAGGGAGGGAGGGCTGGGCTCTGGGGCCTGCAGGAGAGTGGGCAGTGCTGGCTGTCCGGCAGACATGGGGTGAGGAAGGGGGTGCCCCAGTGTTGGGCCCTGGCAGCGGGGGATGGTGGGCCCCTGCAGATTCAGCCCTCGCAGTGTGAGTTCGCCTTTGGCTGAGGGCCCAGGGAAGGGCCGGCTCTCCCCACCGTCCCTCCGGGATCCACCCTGACCGGGGTTGGGGGACGGTTCGGCCCCACCCTGCTGTGTTCTCTGCCTGGCTCTGAGCTTCCTGCTTCTTTTCCGTGTGTGTGGCTGACCACGTCAGTGTCTAGGCTGAACGCGAGGCCGCCTGCAGAGCCAGGTCCCCGGGGAGAAACACCTTTGACTGTCACGGGACTTCGTTCTAGATTCCTTCCTCCTTGGTGGCCACGTTTGCCACCGTGCTGATGGCTTGGCCTTCCGAAGTGCACACTTTGTCCCAGAGGCGGCAAACAGGTGCTGACGGTCATCCCTCCGAAAGTCGGGGCCCCCGGTCGGGATGCGGTTCTCGCGGGGGGCCGGGCCCTGGTGTGTGCGATTCACCTCTTGGTGACACAATGGCCCCTGTGGTGACCCAGTGACCTGCCCCAAAACCCCAGAGTGTGTTTGTTGTTTTAAAGTGGTTCTT